CCAGGACTTGAAGACAGGACTTGAAGCCAGGACTAGAACCCAGGACTTGAAGCCAGGACTTGAAGCCAGGACTTGAAGCCAGGACTTGAACCCAGGACTAGAACCCAGCACTAGAACCCAGGACTTGAAGCCAGGACTTGAAGCCAGGACTTGAACCCAGGACTTGAAGCCAGGACTTGAACCCAGGACTTGAAGCCAGGACTTGAAGCCAGGACTTGAAGCCAGGACTAGAACCCAGGACTTGAAGCCAGGACTTGAACCCAGGACTAGAACCCAGGACTTGAAGACAGGACTTGAAGCCAGGACTAGAACCCAGGACTTGAAGCCAGGACTAGAACCCAGGACTTGAAGCCAGGACTTGAAGCCAGGACCTTCTTGCTGTGATGCAACAGCACTAACACTTAATCTACTGATCAAATTATAATTCCTAAATAATAGTTTAAGCAACGACTGAATGAAGAAATAAAAATAGATTTAGGTTTTTTGTTGCACATTTAGATTTTTAGAAGCACTCCCAACTTCAGTCAAGTCAACAAATGGATTTTTATTTATTTATTTAGAAAATTTACAGTTTAAATTTTAATAGTTGCTTCCACAGGCAGCACGGTGGCACAACTGGTAGAGCTGCTGCCTCTCAGCGAGCAGGTCCCTGGTTCAAACCCCGGTCCAGGGGCCTTTCTGGGTGGAGTTTGCATGTTCTCTCCGTGCTGCGTGGGTTTTCTCCGAGTACTCCGGTTTCTTCCCACAGACTAAAAACATGCATGTTAGACTGATGGTAACTCTAAACTGTCCCTATAGGAGAGAGAGAGAATGGTCGTTTGTCTCTATGTGTCCCTGTGATGGACTGGAGACCTGTCCAGGGTGTCCCCTGCCCCTCGCACAGTGATTGCTGGACATGGGCACCGGTGACCCCCGTGACCCAAAAAGGAAGAAGAGGGTAAAGATGATGTATGTATGTATGTATGTATGTATGGTTGATGGACGTATGGATGATGGATGGATGTATGGATGGATGGATGTATGGAGGATGTATGGATGATGGATGTATGGATGGATGATGGATGGATGGATGGATTATGGATGGATGGATGGATGATGGATGTATGGATGGATGGATGGATGTATGGATGTATGGATGTATGGATGGATGTATGGATGTATGTATGTATGGATGGATGGATGGATGGATGGATGGATGATGGATGGATGATGGATGGATGGATAGTTGCTTCCACAGTCTGATGAGGGAGAATAGGGGGCCCCAAACGTTGGACCGAGATAGACCTGGTTCCAAATATTGTCTTGTAATTGAGTCTTGAATCTTATAGATGAGTCCTCGTGACTCGATGGGACTAACCTGCGTAAATAAAGGTTGGATGAAAGAATGAAAATTGATTTGTGCAGCTTTTACATAATTTACTGTGATTGTTTTTTGGCGCAGCTTTTGAAGGACAATAAAAACTTCTCCTGATGCTGCTCAATAATCCAGGTAGAAAAGTTAAGTCAGGTCCTCTGGACGGGTTCAAAAAACAACAGGTTAGTTTTTTGAACCCGTCCAGAGGACCTGACTTAACTTTTTAGGACAATAAAAACTAGTGTTGCACATGCAAATATGAAAATGTCTAAGATGAATAAGGTGAATAAGAAACGTTGTAAAGTACTCTGCAGCTGCTATAAAAGCTTTATTTGGCCGCAGTCGTATGGCAGAGCAGACTAGAGCTTTTTGTGCACAGATGCTTCTTGTTTCTGTCTGACCAGCTCCGGCTCAAAGTTCAACCCAAAGAACAAAACTCTCACACTCTTCCTGTTATTTTGTTGAGCCTGAACATTTTGACCAGCAGCATCACTTGATGTGCTATTTATCACTTTAAACTGGTCCTTTCTTTCCTCTGCAGATGTCTTCTTCACTTGGGCAGGCTCACATCTTACACACACACAATGGAAATAACATGCTGAGGGAAACAAAATCAACTGAATCATTGAAAAACTGGACACATTTGTTAATAGAGGCTGATTTATTTTAAGTATTATTTCCCCCTGTGCACTTTTTATCTGAAAGTGAAGTCTGTGACAGCAAACATTAACCTCTGTTCTTAAAACTCGTTCTTATCTGAAGCCCTTGGCTGGGACGTCCCCCTGTCACTTTGTCCAACACTATCTTACTACCGTGTTGACTCTGGCTCCAGAGTCACTCCGACCAACCTCTCTCATGTGTTGTGCTTTGAAAAGGCTCAAGTTAAAAACTCTCTCTGCCGTGAGACACTCACAAAGAATAAAGTGTAGGAAATGAACCGTGGACCAACAGGAGAGCAAAGTCTGGATGAGAAAATAAGGAATTACTGAAAGACATGATGTTAGGCACATGCTGACGTTAATAAAACAGTAATTAAATTAAAAAAGACCAACTCCACACATGCTTGTGAACAAGTTTTACACAAGGAACTGATACAAGCAGGATGTAGTGAGCTTTAACGAAGAGTAACTGGGAACTTGGTGAGTTTTTGCTGGTGACGTTTCTGGCTCAACTTGACTTAGTGAAAGAGAAGAAGCAGGTGACGCCTCCATGAAGTGCAGCGATCCTGACGACGGCTGCAAGATGAAATACATTATCGTCCAGAAGGCAAAGGAGCAGTCGGATTGTATCCACGCCCCTGTGTGTGCTGTCTTTTCTGTACTGTTAGCAAAATATCCACGAATCACTGAACGTGTTTCAGTGAAACTTCCAGAATGCAGTGAAGGATTTGACATTAACAACTGATCAACCTGTGGAGTCAACACAATTCAACATGGCTGCCGCAGCTAATCAGCCCCGGTCAACCTAAAACAGAGGACCACTAAAGCTAAACTATGGTGTGGTAGTAGCTGACAGTCATTCTCAACTTGTAGTCCAAGTGCAAGCACATTATGTGATTACACCATGAGGTTGCACACTGAAAGTGACGTGAACGTGCATCATCATCATCATCATCATCAATGTATGTTCACACACAATGACAAAACATGGGCTTTGCATTTAATCAATCATAAATATAATTTCCTTCCTTTTTTAATTTACAAGCTTTGTTTTATGATTGCTGTCTGTGTTGTCATCACTCTTTGTTAAACCAGGTCTCTCTTGTAAATGAGTCCCTGAGGCTCAATGAGACTCACCTGCAGAAATAAAGGTTGAATGAAAAAAAAATGAATAAATCACACATGAGGCACTCTCAGGTGGAGCAGCCAGCAGCGAAGCAGTAGGGAATATGTGCCTTGCTTAAGGACACAATGGCATATGGGCATGGTGGAGAGTCAAACCTGTGACTTTTAGATTCCAAGGTGGCTGCCCTGCTGCCGCTGCACCACCCGTAATCTTTAAATGGACAGCTGTGGTGAAGCCTTGTAACTCCAACTCAACTAAAGATGATCTCAGACTAAATCTCTGGTTTGACAGGTGGGGGGGGGGGGGTCAGTGCTTTGAGGAATGCTTCCATTTAATTAATGATGACCCTGATGAAGGCCAACAAGCTCTGATCTGTTATTAAAGTTGTTTTGATCAAGTATCTGCATCAATGGTCCGAATGCTGCTGGAGATTCTTCCTGCTTTTTAAATTATGTTAAAACTT